GAGCCAACGAGCTACCCGGCCTTTTTGCCACCCCTACATAGAGACAAGTAAATACTCCATCTACTAGTTCTTAGGCAAATGCCCTTGGAATTGTGCAAACAATCACTAGTTCATATCCCAAAAGTTTGGATAGCATGAAGAAATCATAGGTTTTATGTATTTTAGAGATGTAAAGATTCCCTCGAGTCCTTCGGTTAATGTATTGTAAGATTCCTATACGCCCTAAACATTGTGCTGTTGTCTTCTACACAATGTCTAAGCTGGAGTTTTAGATTATAACTGAACGAACTCGTTCTTTGTGAATCGGAACTCAGATCACCCCGTGGATCTTATTAACTCTGAGACATAACTGGAAGAGGTATATTTGGTGTTTTGATATTTGAGAATTTTGATGCGTTGATCTTGCGGTTGAGGCAAGAGAATATTGGATTATGTAATTGATTTTCATTATTTTGTTCTCTTGAATGAAAATAGGCTCAACCAATGTTTGGGATGAAATATGACTTGGATATTTATAATATGAAGTGTTTGAGGTTGTTTGGGATTTTAAAAAACCAGAAAATCGTGAACTAGGGTTTCTCTACGTAACACGACAACTCTAGCGGTCTCTAGGCGAACATCGAGCGATCCTCTGCTAAAACCGCTCGAGCAATATGCTTGATGTAGTTCACCCTTTCTAACTTGAACCTTCCTAGAAGACGAGATTATCTTAGTCAAGTGAGTCATCATTTCAGTCAAGTGACTGACTAGATTTGCTAAGAACCTAACCTTACTAGTGATGCCTTGCTTATTGTTCCTACTCAAGAGTTTGCAATACCTATGTCTTGTGTGACCTAATTGTTTTAATTGTTGTAAACATCAAATATATTGTATAGCTAGCAGTTGAATAATTTTTTTATTGTTTTTCTCCCTAAATTGAGGTCATTTACTCAATTTGATATTACAGAAAAGGGATTGAGATTTTCTACACAAATTCTGGTTGCTTTTGGGGAACAATGAAGGACGTAGAGATAGTGGTGGCAATGTGCCGAGTCAAGCCGACTCGGCCCATCTACCCATGAGCTCGGCTCGTCAAAGTGATGAGCCGTGCTCAAGGGTCGAGCTTGGCTCGGCCCACAAGCTCGTGTTTTTTTTCTATTTTTTTTGAAATTTTTAATTTTTTTTTTAATTTTTTCTTCAGATTTTTTACGAGCCCATGCCCACGAGCCGTTCGTGAGCTCGGCGCCTGGCTCTGGCTTGGGCTCGTACTCGTCCCGAAATGAGTCCGAGCCGTCCCCGGTTCTAGCTTTAGCTCGTACTCGTCCCGAAACGAGTCTGAGCCGTCCATGGGCCAAGTTTTGCCAAGCCGAGCCAACGAGCTACCTGGCCTTTTTGCCACCCCTACATAGAGACAAGTAAATACTCCATCTACTAGTTCTCAGGCAAATTGGTCCTGTGATCTCATTGAGCCACACTCCTAAATAGAGATTCCCCACAAGCTTCCTTACCCTGTCCCAATTGGCTTGATCATTAGGTGGATGACAAAACATTATTAGTCCATACGTGCGCCAGTTTTGCACATTGTTTTTCCATTACAGAAATGTAAGTTAAACTCGTACTATAATGTGTCTAAGTGCTAACCCATTGAAATGATTATTGTACTGCATGCATCCAACATTCAGGCACATGGCATGAGTGTAAGGCTCAAGTCTCAGAGTGCATAGGGGCAAGTTGTGGGCAGCACGGCATAACCCTTTAGATATAAACTCTATCCAAGCCAATGCACATGGTTGATTTCGGCTTATGGCAACTATGTTGGAGGCAGCAGACATGGACTCTTAGTGTGCAAAGTCAAGTAATGGTTGCACCTGCTGACTCTAAACTAGCCATGTTGGGGTGGTTGTGGAATTGACTCATAAGGGAGTTCCCAACTAACATAGAGAGCAGTTTGCAAGGACATGCCTAGTGGGTGGTTTCGTATTGGCTAGGTGGCCAATGCTAGAATTGGTCAGCACACCAGCTCGGGGTGTCAACTACACCCATTTTCTATACATAGGGCTGCGCTGCTGAGGCACTAAACAAGAGGAGTTGTTTTGTTCCCTAAGTTTTCCCTGAGATTCATTTGTTTGAGAGAGACAGAGTTGGGAGATTCCCATAATTGCAGTGTTCTGTGCTTATTCTATATTTCTGTGCCTAGCACCTCGTATGTGCGCTTTTGAATCTTTGTGCAGTGCATTCTTGTATTTGTCGGCTGACTGAGTGGGATTCCTCAGTACATCTCTGGGTGAAAATTCTCTTAAGTATTGACCCAGTGACAAGAAGCTACTTCATTTCGTTGGCACCTTCTTAGCTAGCTCCTCCTGGTTTTTTCTCCCTTCCACAATTCAAAGAAATTTCTTCACTGTCGAGGCTTGCTTCAATCAGTTTGTATATATTCACCACATAAACAAGAGCCGTCATATTAATTATTGAGAAGCCTAAAAGCCCAGAGCCATCATAGCATGCCATATATTATATTTTCTGCTTTGAAGGAAACATAAATTGGACTTGTACTTCTAGTGGAAGTGAAAAAATATTAGCTAAGAGGAAAGGGACAATGGGTCCCTGAATATCCATTCATACTGCAGGAGGGCTTATTATCTGGGTAAACATACATCTTCTCAATTTAACCAAAGGATGTCTTTGTGCATTAATTATCACCAATAATCTTCTGGCTTCTATAAGTTACATAAAAATTGTATAGATAAAATTCCAAGAAATGAATTACATCCTCCACTATCATCAAATGGACCACTGCCAATCACCTCTCTTGATTAAATTACTAAATAGTTGCTCTTTTGTTTAGTTTCATTTGATATAAGTTTATCTGGTTCAAACTAACTTAATTTCCTTGTTATTTGGTATTGTCATTTTATGTTCTTTTCCTCTAGGGAGGCATCTTGATGATACATGGATAGCATGTATAGGTAATGACTTCAGGAGAACGTTAAAGTGGCAAAAGACTGATTCAGGCATTCCAAGCGGACGGTTTGGTCACTCATGTGTTGTAATTGGCGATTCACTTATCCTATTTGGAGGGATCAATGACCTTGGGATTCGCCAAAATGATACGTGGGTGGGACAAGTTATATTGCAAGAAACCCTTGGGATTACTTTGTCCTGGAGGCTACTTGATGTTGGCGCGATTGCCCCTCCACCCCGTGGAGCTCATGCCGGGTGTTGCCTTGGTAACAAGAGGATGCTTATCCATGGAGGGATCGGGTTGTCTAGCTCTAGACTAGGTGACACATGGGTTCTAGATCTCTCGGAAAATCTTTGTTTTGGGACATGGCAAGAAATTGTGACTCATCCATTTCCTCCATCCCGCTCAGGACATACATTAACTCATATTGGAGGAACACAAACAATTTTATTTGGAGGGAGGGGATCAGGATATGAAGTGCTAAATGATGTCTGGCTGTTGAGTGCGTCAGGAGGCCATTGGAGATGGATGCAACAACATTTTGAACTAGGTGACATACCCCAAGGATTTTCCCTTGCACGAGTAGGTCACTCGGCCAACCTTATATTAGGAGGTCGACTACTTATTTATGGAGGCGAAGATTCATACAGGCACAGGAAAGATGATTTTTGGGTTTTGGACATTAGTTTGATGCCTTCAATTAAAATGCAGCCTACTAATCTTCAGTCAAAGGGATTATTAAGAAAAATGTGGAGACGACTGGAATCCACGGGCGAAAAACTTAACTGCAGATCATTTCATCGAGCTTGTGTCGATCATTCGGGCCGATACTTGTATGTCTTTGGTGGAATGGTAGATGGGTTACTTCCGCCTTCCGAATCATCTGTTTTGAGGTTTGATGGAGGAATTTTCCTGGTGGAGCTTGTGCTGCAGTCTTAAAGAGTGGTGCTTTACTGAGATGCTGATTGGGTGACTGAATCAGTAACTCTGTTGTCTTGCCTATATACTGTGGGACGAGGTACAACACATGAAAAAGCAACAATGGAAGGTGCTCGACTCTATGGCTCACCTATGCCAGTGAAAGGGAGTATTCACTTGTTGAGAAACGTTTCGGTGTGATGCAACTTATGACCCTTCATTGATCTCTTAAAGCCAAAGTCGAACAAATCCTTGCAACCGAATGATGTTGTAACTTAAGACTTTGTCTCGGTGCTGCAAGTTCTGTAAATTGAAAAAATCTTGTTATGGTTTAAGGTATGGACTCTAGTTTGGGAGTATTGAATTCAGTGGTAATTTTGCATCTCTTTTTTATGTAAATTAAGTTACGAGATAGTTTCTGGCATTGTAAGCGCACGAATGTAATGAAATTCAAGAGTCTTCCCTTAGATTTCAAAATCTTTCTGCATTTAACGTTTTTGAAGTATTTGAGAGACAATGCGAAAGAGTATAAGCGACTTGTATACTTCTACTTTCATACTACACCTAATCGACATGTTTAGTAAGCTGGATTGATCTGTTCAATTGTGTCGAGTTATGTATATTGAACCTACAAAATCTATTTAAAATTATAAAGATACTTTAAAGGGCAATAAGATACTTCTACATTTATAGAACACCTTTTCAAACTGCGGTCTAAAGATCCTCTTGAGCTTAAAAAGTGACACAGGAAATACACAAAAAGTGCAAAGTTACAGAAGTGAGAGCATGTTTGCCCAGTCTTAGAAAGTGTATATATATTATTTATTTGTTTGTTTGTTTGTTTTTTTCTCTATTACCTCACCTGCGGATCGTTCCAATATGGCAAGACATCATCATGACTTCCAATATAATATAATGAAATAATTGAAATACTAGAACAATACTATATAGTAAGGTAGGATATTATCTATAGTATACAGAAAGGGCAAAAAAATACTCATAAGCACAGTTTCGCTCACCACATTTCTCCGATGACCTGTCTTGGTGTGGGATCATCAGGTCTTTTGTATCGTTGCCATCGTGTAAAATACAACATTCGGTAGATATGGAAGTTTTACAATCATGGAGCATTTCTGCTGGTTTAAAGATGGACTGAAATAAATGACGCACATTGGTCAGGGTAACACAACCAACACTATTATCTACTGAAATCAAAATTCAGTTTAAAGTTGCTACCGCAGCCAATGTCAAAAACTCATCTGACTTGACCATTTTCACGAGTTCATACGCTAAATTAGAAGGGCTGGAAAATTGCACGTGTAATATTCCACAACTTATTAAAATTAGAAATTACCAAAAGATAGTAAAGCAGACAATTTCAATTTGATGATTGAAAACTAAGCAAAGGGATATAAAACCAAGAAAAGGGCATCGACCTCAATCATAGCAAGTACTGCACTAAAAATTTTCTGTTTCGGAATTGTAGATAGTTACCTGAGTATCTAATTGGAACTGGAAAATCTATCCAAGTTACAGGATGCTTCTCTGTGGTGCCTTCAACAATAACAATAGAGTTGTTAACAATTGCCCAGGCAAACTCAATGTGAGAATCGGGATTTGGCATATGAAGCAGCAATTTCCATTTCATATCATCATCTAGCATGTAATCATCATCATACACAAGCTGCAGACATAAGCTGAAACCATGAGGAATCTCAACACGTGTCAAGCAAAAACTTAAGAAGAAATTAAAAAAAACACGTGTCAAATTTCTTTCATTTTACACTAAACATCATCTAGCTTATAAAGTACTTCAAGTTTAGCTGAAAAGGAAGGCTATCAAAGAGTACATGACAAACATAGTAACTGTACATTGCAATTAGAAGACCTTATCTGTGTCTTGGGAGGGAAGAAGATAAATTTGAAATCTAATGTAGCATCAGTAACTGATAAATGTTTTAACCTGTGCAATCAACTGCCTACTTTTGTCTTAGAAAGCATAGCATTATAACGTCACGTCATTTCGATGGAAGCACTTAAAAATGGGAGATCCTGGTTTAGCCATGAAATCACCTTCTTGATCGCCAATAAAATACAAGCGATCATTAACCACAATACAAGCCCTACATAGAAAACATTAAGAGCGGAAAATATGAGATATTATGCAAAACAAGAAAAATCTTCAAGCAGAACTTTGTTTATTTCAAGCTAAACCCGGACGAGAGTGATGTCCTGCCAAAAAGCACGGATAGATGATTTCTTTTACCCGAAGGCCTTTTTTTGTCCTTGTGGGTATAGTCAATTTTAGTACTTTGAAAGTAATCCACGATTCTTACAGAAATTTCTCATTTCAATAAACACAAGTTCGGTCGCCCATAAAACTCTAATCACACCTAGAAAAACACATGACTTGATAGTAGTTTCATTAATGAGTTTCGGCAGAGTATATGCTGTAACCCAAAACATGCAGGTGAGAGCATAGTGGGTGCTGAAACAAAGAAATATTTATACTCTGCCCATTTAGTCTAAATATTGCAATGTAATCACTTTCAAGAAAGAATGGAAGAAAAACCTGTGCGGTCCACCACAAGGTATGGGAATCTCCATTTTCCAGTCCTTTTCTAAAGCTTTGCCATCTTTCACAACAATACTCCAGTGCTCTAATCCAGGTGTATGCCAGTTCTCTTTGCAACCAATCATCACATGGACTCTGCCACTCCAAAGCTGAGTTGCAGGTGCATATCCGAAATAATCATGTTACAATTTTCACACTATTATCTAACTGAATTTCTATATTATGTCAATATATCTAGAAACGCCAATTATTTAACAGTCAATTTTTCAGCAAGTTTCGACAACTAATATTTAACAGCTGATAATGTTATTGTTGCTAAGAAGCCAGTACGTGATAGAATATTTATATGGTAGGGGATCGAGCAATAATATATTATAAGATTTTATCAGAATCAGCAACAGTAGCCTGAGATTGAAAGGGGAAATGAAGTTTAATTGCTCCAGTTGATAAAATGCTCCTCTATCTTGTAAAGACAATCCAGAATTCTCATGTACCTGGGATTTGATCTGTGGATACCATATTCAACCATCCAAACTCAAAATAACATGTAACAGAAAGCAGATAACATAATCAGGTCGCAAGAACTCATAAGATATTATGAAAAGCATTAAAGCAATCAAAATTTCAAGTTGAAATTACTTTGTTAAAGAAAAAGCAATAGCAATAATTCTCCACGAATATTTCACTAAAGGTTCTGATGAGTCAATCCTGTGATAACTTGTACTGGAAATTTAGTACTACTGTCACTCAATTTTATGGAAATCGCCCTAACAAGAAGTATTGAAGTGGGTCCATCAGGCACCAGCCTTGGATTGGGAAAGGTAAATGAAAATCAAATATTCACTTCACATGAATCAGTAAGAAATCACACTAGAAATGAATGACAGAGGGATGCATTATTCAGTCCACTCCATTATATATATATATATATATATATATATATATTAAATAGCTATTACTTTCATAGGAGAAAAATGAATGCCATTTCTTCCAAGAAATTGCATGGTCATAAAATCAGAAGAAAAGTCATTGTCATTAGTAGACATAGCCAACAGAAAAGTGAGCCAAAAACATATAACTAAAAGAAACCAGCATGTAGAAGCATATATGGTCTTCCTAGCTTGGATAGGACAGAGGAGGAAAGTCCTGCCATTGCTATAGGTCCTCTACATTGAGGACTATATTATCCTGTAACTATGTAATTATATCTCCCATCTGTCACCGTGCCTGAATGTGAATGCGCCATTTCTTTTGGCATATCAAACCTTCTTCCCCAAGTGTTATCTGTGAAATTGTAAATATCAACATGAGAATGAACCTTTGAGGAAAAAAAACATCATTACGCCTATAAATTGAGATCGATTCAATTCCAAATTGGCAGTAATATTGACACTGATTTGAGAGACATGCATTGATAGGTCCATATTGTCTTGAACCCTCGACAGTTGCAGGATTATATAAATCAAGCACAAAACTTTGGCAGAATGAAGGACTTTTTCACTACATATATATCCCAGGATTCACGTGCATCATTGGATTGACAAGCAGAGTTACTGGAATTATCACTGTTATCATCCCCAATATGTTGGAAACTATTATATCATGAAAAACAGGCAGTCTCTGTCTGTTTTTTAGCTTGCTTTAAATGGAGTTATTGAATCTCAAATATCTTAAGTTGCAAAATGAGAGACTCCATTGTAAATATGAGAAATCAGTTCTTAAGTTCCCAAAACAGTTTATCATCTCTATTTTTTTAAGATTGCAACAAGTGTATTGTGTCCAAACATCTTGCATGTAGGCAAACTTTGGTTCATGCTCATAACTCACTAGTTGGTCCCTCAACTTTCCCGTAGGTAATCTCATCTTGACTGACTGACTACTCCAAAAAAGCATCGACTTCCACTAGAACTCTTGCATGCGAAAGTCAACCTTTTGTTGACGTGAGTCGTCGGTAGATATTGGTTTTCGAACTTTGGATGCAATCTTCCCCAAAGCATTTGGATTCCAATTGCAGCCCCGATACAGTCATCAAAACCGACACAGCACTAATCTCCTTGTCGTCGAACTCGAAACATCGATGCATTGACTTTAGACATCAAAGGGTGTAAACCCTAATGTACATATAACAAAACCCTTGTTAGAATAACTTATTTTCGATTTTGATTTATAAAAAGAATGATTCCTTTTAAAACAAACTTATTTATAAGCGAACTTCTCAAGTTTAGCCCAACATGATTTAAAACCAGAAAGATAAAGGCACAGCTCTTGCAGTATCTGCTTTTAATCTTTCCAAGAGAAGACTGAACGCAGAAAAGCAGAAATCTACACAAACAAACATGTATAATTACTCGTTTCTACAATACAAACCATTCACATTACAAAACCTTCCATAATCTAACAAATAAACAAGTATAAACTCTACCAACTTTTGATTAAAAACTACATTAGAATCTCCACTATAATTGACATAATATTGCACAGAACAAACTTTTACAAGGCACAAACTTGGAGAAAAGTCGAACACAAGAAGCTATTACACAGGTATAACATCCATCTTAGACGTATCTTCACACCTCAGAACAATTCCCTCGAGACTAGCGGGAAATATACATTTAGTCCACTGGCATCCCGTTGCGAATGGCTCTGCGGGAGGAACTATCATAAGCACATTTTCGTTTCTCTGAACAACTCCCATTACACTAACTGTGCTTCCTTCTTTGATATAACTATCATACCAAAAATTGAATTCAGAAAGTTAGAATGCATCTCCAATCTAATCATGCATGTGGTTTTGCAGAGTTTCATGTCTCTTTCTTTAGTATAATAAGTTCATGTCAATTCACCTTCTTATCAGAATTTATGGCGGGCTTTTTCAAAGTCGAGCAAGAGACAAAAGTTCCATGTAGCATGAATGAGACCATGTTTGGCTAAGCTGCAAAAGGGTAAAAAGTATTTTTCGGAAAGTAAATTACACCCCTATTTGTCTCTAATTCTTTCAAAACTCTTTTTTCTTCATACTCATTTTCAACCACACATTCACACAATAAAATATTCTACACATAAACTCATAACTTTACTCTACTTTTTAACCACACATTCTCCAAAATTTCACTATTTAAAACAATATTTTTCCAAAAAAATGGCCGCCAAACATGGGCTAAGACTTAAAAAGCAAGTTTTAGAACCAAAGATCCCCCCTAAAAAAAAAAAAAAAGCTTAAACGTGTTTGGAAAAGAAATTTACTTATAAGACACTTTTTAAGCTAAGCCAAACATGCTTTAACATGTCCAAAGGGGAGGGGCCAAAGAAAAAAACCTACCCTTCCTTCAATTGCATGACACGGTCATCACTTGAAAGATTCCTCTCTCCCAACCATCTGACAAATTCTGGCGTCAACTCTTTATTCAGTGGATCGACTTCAATGACAAGGGATTCATCGACATATGGAGTCACCCGTGCACCATAGCCAGTTTTAACCAATGCCCTTAGTCCAGACTGAAAATCAGAAATGTAGAAGTCGACAGCATGCTTCTGCATCGAGTATGGAAAAAAACACTAGTCAAGCACCATGAAATTATCACAGTTTCAAAATAAATCACAATCCCTGGAAACATTTGCTCTTACCCTCAAGCACATAACATATGATAAAGATATAAAAAGTAACAAATATTATAGAGATTAACAATTTTCTCATTCTCTTTTGCATATACACTTCTCATTTTTACCCCCTTAATATTTTTTTATTTTCTTTGAAGGATTTGTGATATTATAGTTCGGGATCTTTCTTGCATATGGAAAAGGTTGAAGTGAAGCAAAATGCAGGTTTCCTGCATCTCCTTTTTAACTTCTTAAGGAATACTTTGTTTCGCCAACTTTTAAAAACTCACAGAAATAGATTCAACGACAACAGTTCTTTAAATGGTTGCACAAGTAACAAAATGTAGTACTCACTTCCAACGATCTAATTCCCCAGGTAAAACGACGGTGTGTAGGATTTGCAGCCTTAGAATCCCAACCTCGATACTCGTATAAACTGGTAGATGTGTAGACACATCTAGAAATTCTTTGAAAGGATGATTCAAGGGGCACGTTTCCACAGGTCACCACCTTCCACAACATAATCAATCGTCAAATAAGAAAATTTGAGTAAACAAGAATTTTAAATGCAAAATTTACTGTAACAAAACTAGCAAAACACACACCAACTATACAGTAAAACAGCGAGTTCAAAATTCATCTAGATCAATTTTCCATCCACATGTAATATACCATAAACACCTCACAAATATCCATTTTAGAGTAGCTGTTGCTGAAGTGAACCCTTAACTTGTGACTCACATTCTAGATCAGTGTTCTCTCTTCCCACATTTAAAAGGGAAAAAAAAAAAAGAACTCAGAATAAAGGGCAAAACCAAATATTCCGGTGGTTTTGCTAAGTTGTAAGGAAATAGGCTATTAACTCCCTTGCAATTTTTAGATTCCAACAGATTAGTCAAGTTATCCAGCTAAAAGGCTAAATTTTGATCTTAAATGACATAATTACCCCTCAACATGCAAAACTTTTACCATAGGGGTAATCAGCAACTTCATGAAACCACATGGGGTTAAAATGCCTTTTACCAAAAGGAAAAGGAAGTAGAATAACAAAAATCTGGGAGGAAAAGACTACACCTTACTGGGTGAGGCACCGTATTTTACAGGATTATGTGATCACTTAGATTTGATACGCACGTTTTAAGAGCAAGTTATAGATACAAGTGTTGAAAAGTTCAAAAACTATGACGTTTCTTCTTTCATAGGTGGATGTTCTTGTTAATGGACCATGTGTAATAAACACATCAGTCAATCACAACATCTGCATCTCACAATTATGGAATTCAAGGTTGGCGCATTATAGCTAGAAATTAAACCCCTTACTGCGATCACATATTCAATAAAGTACATACCCCGGAAACCTTGACGTATTGCCCATTTTTGGCAGTTCTCAATTCAGCATCTGGATAATGGGAAATGTATCCAATGATAGCTTTTCTTCCCCAACAAGAATTCCATACAAATAAGGCAAAAACGATGCAGAATAGAACCACAACGACAATGAGGAGAATAGGATTGTGCACAGCACCAAAAATAAATCCCCCAGCAATGAATCCCATTACGAAAAGTAAAATCATTGCCCACAATATAAGTTTTGGGAGGTTCCTTTTGAAGGAATAGTCATCATCTTGACCAAGAGTCGTCACAGCCTGGTTGTTAGCTACTGAAGAACCACGTAGCTTGATTGATCCCGTTGAGTCCAAAGGACCAGAAACCTTTCTTGGGGCCCCAGATGAGTTCAGTGGACCAGATGTAATGGGTCCAGATGTGATGAGACCTGTTGCAGGAAGATTTAGAGGTTGAGGACCTGAGTTTTGGCGAGCATTAGGCGTCCCTCCCCCAGATTGAGGGCTGGAGGACTTTTTAATAGGTTCTCCATGTTTATTAAGTGGCCCAGAATTTGATTTCTTCATTGACGTCGAACCAGGTACCCCCATGGAAGATACAGGACCCGAGGTAGAATAGCTGGACCTGGCTGCAGCATTGGGGTTAATAGGTCCAGAATGAGAAGCGGCACCGGCAAAAGATCCTGCCCTTGGAGCATTGGATATAGGTCCAGATTTCCTAGACTTTGAGCCATCAACAGGAATATCAAACATCTTTCCAAGCTCGCCCGACTTCTTGATGTCCCCACCAGTGTAGGGCATGGCCGACGAGCTCATTGTTGGCATTCTTTCCTTTGGCTGTTCCGGGCGGCCCGATACATAAAGACCATTGCTGAGCTGATGAGATTGGAATCGAGAACCCATCAAGTTCACTTATACAGCAATTGTAGCAGCACAAGCGATTGATGCCACTTCAATTATATTGGCGTCTAAATAGTATGCCTCTAAGAGATAAACAAATGCCATCAATCAAACAAGTGTTTACTAACGCCAAAGATCATTTCAAATATCTCATTATAATAACTAGAAGAACTGGAAAAGAGACGCATAGCAATGCATCCGTAGAGAACAATGCTGCATTCATTCATGTTATAAACAAAGGTTGGACCAAAGAATTTGAAATGCCATGATGAGAACAAGGACAAGAAGAAAAAATAATTGCCTCAAAGCATTTATGTGTGTGAGAGAGAGAGAGATAGAGAGTGAGTGAGCGTGACTGAAAATGTGTGGCTCATCAAAAACATATGGAAACATAAATTATGAACACCATTAACATACAAAATTCCTAAAAACACGAAGTCAGATGCAAGGAATCTGGATTTACCAAGAGAGAGAGGGTGGGGGGTTAGAAATATACAACCGAAGACTACAGGTAACAAAATAGTATCAACATCACTTCCCACCATATAATTCATGAAATCTTTACAAAACAATTGATCGAAAAGTTGAAAAACAATATACTTCTAGAAAGAGACATGCTCGGCAAGATCTGAATATGGTGTACCAAAATGAGCAGAATAAGATGCACTCCTGGGAAGATAAAACTACCTACTATGACTTCATAAAAACCAAGAATGTTCCAAAAACTGATGATGTATCAATAAATACAAGTAATGAATCTGTGTCAGCTGCACATGGGCTGTTCCTCAATAACCACGAAAAAACAACAGTAATTGTTTAAAATACTTTTTTTTTTTTCAGTTTATCCGAATGCTTCGGTAAGGACACAAAACCAGAACCCAAAACCCCAGAAAACAAGGAATAGAAGTAAACGTGATGAAATATACTTATCTGCAGAATTTAACGGCAAATATCAAATATGCCTAAAAAGTACAAATTCACTGAATTTCAGAAATCTCAAAATCTTTGAACAAATATCAGTCAAATTTCCATTTAAACTAAAATTAACTCGGATTCTACTGTTTTTCAACACTGAAAATCAAGAAACCTGGATCAAGATTTCAGTTTCTTTTGATGGAATCAGAACCGTCAATCTTTAAACAGATACCCACTTAACCCAACTTTACTAAACAAGCACCTAAAAAGAACAAAATCCAAAAACTAATTATCAATGCTAAAAAGTAAAGAAAAAAAGGGTTATCCATTTCACCATTTCTAGCCCAAAAAAACCCCCCAAGAGAACATAAAATAACAGCCATTTGGGAGAAGCTCTCAGATTATAGCAGGAAATAAAGAGATGTAAAGGGCAAAACGGGCAGAATAAGAAGAAAAACAGTAAAATGAAGATTTTTTTCTCGAACATACATATGTAGTAGCAGTACCTGAAGTTGAAATCTGAAAGTGTTTCCGGGAACATGTTGATATTGATATTAATATGTGACGTAGCAGTGCAAGTATATGTCTGTATTACAAGAAGGATAGTTGTTAAACAGGATTTTGGTGCGATCCCATCGTTATCTTTCTACCGCTGTACTCTCTCTCTCTCTCTCTCTCTAAAATATTTTGTTTCTTTCTCTAAATTCTCGGCCTCAGATTCTTGAGAGAGACTGATGGGTTGTCTCGTCCGGCAATAAAAACGGAAAAACCTCTTCAAACAAAGATTAGAAGTTTAGAACAGAAAATTAACTACTAAATTAAAAAAATTATTTTCCTGCGTGCGAGCGATAATGACAGCAACTTATAATTTATAATTAATTTGTAGAGAGAGAGAGATGAAAAGGTTAGCCGTTATTGTTGACTTTTATTAGAATCGAATTAAAATTGAATTAAAATTGAAAATATAGTCGTTATTGTTGACTTTTATTAGACAAGTGGGACCCAATAACGGCCATATTTTCAATTTTAATTGGCTTTTAATCCCTCCCGAACGGGGCCTAAATATTTTAGCATATTTAAAGTTATTTTAAAATCATCAAAAGTACCCAGGTGATTTTACCCGCTCTGCA